TTTTCCAATTTTTCATACTTCTTTGACGTTTTTTCATCTTCTATCGTAAGACCACAAAAAAATAACAGCGTTTCTGCAATTTGTAGCAAGTACTCGTTAGAACTGAAAGTCTAACGAGTAATTTGCAAAAAGAATCATTACAATTGGTAAAAAATTGTGGCGGAACAAATTTTTCTCCCGAAAGTTAGTCAAATCGCTCACCGTGCGTCGGTGGAAGCGAATATCAGCTATTGTCGTCTTGATACGTCACTTTACCGATCACAGTGACCTCAGCCAAAAAAATGTTTTGAACTGAATGTCCAGATAAAATTCTAAATGTCACAGTTAAAATCTATCGCTGTTTTTGTATCTACTAGAAAATTGTGCCACGTAGAATTTACAGCAACAGCATTCTAGCAGTATCTGCAGATGAATTTAAGTCCCTTTAACTCTTAGTGGCCCTATATGGGTACTTCGAGTCCGAAAGATTTCTTTTCATAGATATTTCTCAACACGTTGAAGGGTCCTGGATATACTACATTTTAGATTTTGCACAATAAAGTACAGATATTTTCTAGAAACTTGAAAGTATATCCGTGAATTTTTACAGATTTTTTGAACCATTATAAAGATATGATAAAAGGACCGGAATGATCCATGTAGGGTCACAATGCCACATATGGTGCTGTTTTTCACATAAGCCACTAAAGATTAATTATTAATCTGTATGGGTCCCACAGAAAGACTTTCTTGCAAATTTTACAAATAGTCCAAGTATAAAAATTCTATCTCTGTCATCTACGTTAATTAAACACAAAACGTATGCGATATCGCAGTGTTCACTAGTCATTTATCTATCTTGATCAATTTCTCATATCTAGATAATTTTCGCTACAACTGCAAGATAATTTCGTTGATCGTCGAGGGCTGATCGGAGACACGCTCTCTCACCGGTAATATCGTAATAACGATGTCTCGGCGACTATCGCGCGAACGACGAGCAAGATGTTTCCACTGTGAAATGATATCTCATTTGAATCCGTTTCATTTCGCACATTTTTGTCCACGTTCCTTCTACGAACACGCTACTAAATCTTGTTTCACCGTTCCATTAGACCGTTCCAATTAAGTAACGCGAGAAACTGGATATCGCCCTCGACTTAAATTTAAATCGAGCCGACGTTTTGACAATATAAATATCAGCGCTTACTGTACAAGAAAAAAGAGAAGGAGGTGAGGAGGAGATGGAAGAAGGATAACAAGACGACTAATTAGCCCATTAATCCAGATTACATCGCACTATTTAAAAGCGAAGCTTCCTTGGGACGAACGATGCGACCTTGCTACGTAATGCTCACGACTGCCGATTAAACGTACATTTTTCCCGGTGAAGATAGCAGAAGGCTCTCACGCCGACGTGCGAGACTTCGTCCTGCTTATCCTGAGCATATCGTCGCGCCCAGAGGAGACAGAAGAAAAAGGAAGGCCGGTTAATTCAGCGACGTCGATTTTTGCCAGTCGAGATATCCGTCGACGGCGGGCGAGTTAATTGCACGACAAACCGCGAGATATGCCGGGCACGATGTCCTTGGGGAAGGTGTCCGTGGCTGTCGCGAGGTTTCGCCTCGTTCCTCCTCAAGTGGTAGCGACGGCAGCAGCGGCTATTGCTGCTGCTGCGGTGGCGGCAACAGCAGCAGGTGGTAGACCCGTCTGAATTGGTTTATAAATAAGTCGTGTTAGCCCTTAACGGCCCGTCATTACTTGCGCATATCTTCGGCCTGCCTTGGCATTTATATCCGTGGCTTAGGATATCCGTTTTGCACGTCGATAGAGCGAACACGCCTAACATACACGGTCGTGGTGAGGGTCTCTTGCGCGCGCTCTTTGCGAGACCCGCCGTGCAACAAAATGTTTGCTATATATCACGACGCGACGTGAAGTCTCGCGTAACGTAAATTACTCACGAGGGTGATAAACCGCGAGCGTTGAACGCAAGCAACGTAGCCAGAGGTATCAGAAACAAGCTTTATTAGAAAACTGTGAACTGGTCGTTTCGCGCGAAGTCGCGAAGTACAGTCTCAGGAATGCACGAGGAGGAGGAATGGCACGTGCGAATTCCGAAAATGCCGAGGGGAAACGGTGACCGCTGATTAAATTGGAATCTCGCGCTCGTGCTTGACCGTGAGGGAACATTTGAATTTCATATCGGCCGGAGAAAACACGCTCCCTAATGAAGCGCAATCGGACCCTACCGATACAGGCTCCCTCGCGATCGTGTCTCGCATTCGCTAATGCCGAAGTTTACGATGCTAAAGGAATCGAGTAAATGCGCGCGACGGAGGGACGATCGAGAGCAACGGCCACGTGGAATAATCGCGATTAGCATTCGCGGGACGAGCGACATGTGAACGAGGTCTGCTGCGTCTATGTCGCGAAATGTTTCATTCAACGCGGGAAACAGCTTCACCCGAGATGTACCGTAACAATCCCGCGATATGGGTTACACGAAAAAAAAGATTTCGCTGCAGTGGCTAATTATGGCTTGTACTGAACATGTATTTGTTACTACAACTTTTACTACTTTCACTGCTACGTCGGTTTTATAGCTAAAAATATACCTGTTACCATATTATACTATATTAAATAATCACATATTTAAGTTATTTAAGTAATTATATTATTACACACAGACATTTCAGTATTCAGCTATTAGTAACATAACATTAATGTTGCAATTTTCTACTATTCAGCAATCTAAATGCAATATAACACGTGTGTTATGTAACAGTTACTTTGTTGAATGAGAAATGATGTAATGTTAGTTGGTGTTTACCAGGCTTTAGCTATCGCACATGGATTACACCGCGCGAGTCCTGATATTATGGGCATATATTTAACAACGAATAAGTTTCTTTGATTCTTCAGCTGGGATAAGATAAATGTTCCTGCGACGTATAACCGGCGATAAACGACAAAGAGCCACTGTACGGCCATCAATGAATTCAAATTGGCCGCAGAAAAGTAGTTTTGCAAACACGAGTGACATTGACACTGAACTTGCAATCTGATTATGTCATCGAAACTTACTCAACCCGCACGGTTCGGTCACGAGCGGACTCTAGGAGGACACAGTAGGATGTTACGTCATTGTTTGCGCAATCCTCTTTTCTTCTTTTCACCAAAAGGTGAAAGGAACGAGGTTTAGAACGAATCTATTCGTTTCAAGTTCTCACGAATCGCTCTTTTTTGCTTCTCCGTTCTCTCTCTCTCTCTCTCTCTCTCTCTCTCTCTCTCTCTCTCTCTCTCTCT